CCCCAAAACCCCAAAACCCCAAAACCCCGTTTGGCTAATTAATTGAAGTATGTAGTCAAATTTAAGAAATAAAAAAATCACACTATTATAAGCTTATCCTTAAACACCAAAGAAAATTTGGATGAAGAATTAGGCCTAGTGCTTAGTTATGAGGTTAAGTTGGTGTCCTTAGATGAAGTTTAAATCTAATCACATAGCTTTGACAATGATATTTCTCTCTTGAGTTTTTATTAGTATTTAGAATGAACTTTGTTGTAGCTTTTAACTGGAAAGCTAGAGATTGGTCTCCTTGGGGTTAGTTTTGGCTTCTATGTTTCTTCTTAAGGAGATGATTTCTCATCTGATCCAAATAATAATTATTCAAAGTCAATTGGCTCTTAAATTTGGAAAATCATCTTCTTTTTATTTGAGTCTCTACATGTCTAGGGTCTTTTTAAGTAGTTTGGAGAAGAGATAGATTGCTATTTCATATCAGAAAATATTTGCAAATCTTTATTCCCTTTATTAATAGAATCAATGACTTGTGGTTCAATTTTGTTTTTCCTGTAAAACAAAACCGTTTTTTGCTCTTGATTATTTTACCTTTAAGTATTGAATGGCTTCTAAGGTGAATCCTCATCTCTTTAGAGAGTTGAAATACTTGTTATGCTTTTAAGTCTCTTAACAACTCTAGATCCAGGACGCTTTTCCTCTTAATTCGTAGCTGGTAGTTAAGGATCTTCTGTTATTTTTGTTAAGTTGCCACCATGCACACATTAGAGCGCTTCAAAGTTCTGAGAAGCATAATTAGACTTTGAGGTAATCCTGTTATTTCTTTCATCAATAACTTTTTACAGAAAGTTAGACATCTTAAGCTGGCTTTGCTTTACATCCATTCCTTGTTCTTTCATCTCCAAGATCATATTTTAGATTTCACTTTTTCTAGCCACGATCCTTTTGAAATATGGCTTAATCGGCTCTTTATCTCCTTTATTGAGGATAATATTTACTTTATTTTTATCATTATTACTTGACGAGTCAGATGATGTTGGGGTATTCTCTCCATCAGAATCTTCAGCCTGCCTTTTGTATTATTGTTTTAATTATTCATAATCTAAATCAGAGAAATAAAGATTTCTAGCCCCTCTTGCTGATTTTGGAGGTGGCCTTGCAAAAATATCTTCAACCTATGGTGGGTTTAGAATGTTTTCCAAATTATTTAGTTAAGCGTTAACGTGATTTTTAATGAGTCTTTTCCTACTAGTTGGACTAGCATCATCTAGCTAGCTGTCTGCATAGGATCTATGAGTTAGATTTTTAGAGCTCTTAGAGGCATATGATTGATCCTTACTAGTTCTTTTCTACACCTTGAATATTTTATTCTGGACAGCTTAGCTTTTCACCTTTTTTTTACCGTCAGAGTCAGTTGAGTAATCATCAATACCCTATTCATTTTAGTTATCTTGAATCTTGTCCTGATTATGTCTGATATAAGAAAGCATCTCTTCAATTTCTTTTTTATCGTGATTTAAAACAAGAGAGTAGAACTACTGCCAAGCTCTATTCAGATTGTTTTGCTTTTTAATTTTATCATCTGATTCATCTTGAGCTTCATCAAAGTTCATAAAGTGTTAATGATGGACAGGCAGATTATAGGGTCTGAAGAAGTATTTTACCTTGTCTTTCAAATTCTTCTCTTTTTTTTACTTCAACTTTTATGCCTTCATCTCTTCGGTCTCTAAGCACTATCTTTAAAGCTCTTCTTATACTTGCTTTTGCTTTGTCAAAGCTATATCTCGTAGAGAAAATCCTACCTTCGAATTCACCTTCTTTACAAAGTTCTTTTACTTTTCAAGTTCTTCCCCTTTTCTTAGATTGTCTAGATATGATTAATAGTTAAACTATGGAAGATTATTGACTTGAACCCCTCTATTAGTTAAAAATGCTTCAATTTTATTGATCTCATCTTTATTATCAAATATCTGTTAGGTTGAGATTGATCTTTATTTGATTAGTTATTTGGGCTAAATAACCTTTCTGGATTAGGAGTTCTTCATTGTGCTCCCAAATTTCATTTCTTAATTTAAGTTTTATTTGTTAATATTTAAAACATCTAAAGATTCTTTTAATTGCTAATTTATCATATTATGTTTGAAGGGGTTTTGGGGTTTTGGGGTTTTGGGG